CGCCGCTGCCAAAACCACCGCCGCCTCCGTGGCTACCACCGCCGCCGCCTCCAGAACCACCACCGCCGCCGCTGCCAAAACCACCGCCGCCTCCGTGGCTACCACCACCGCCTCCGTGGCTACTACCACCGCCTCCGTGGCTACCACCGCTGTCGCCTCCGTGGCTACCGCCGCCGTAACCGCCCTTGCCTCCGCCGCCTCCAAAGCCACCGCCTCCGCCGCCTCCAAAACCACCGCCTCCGCCACTTCCACCTCCGAGGCTACCACTTCCGCCCCCGTATCCTAAAATTAATGTTTGATTTAAAAACAGGACTAAAGAAAAACGAATTATTTATGAGAGCGAATATAATTTGTGTATATATTAAATTGATGATAATATATTAAATTATGTACAAAGAAAATGTTGTAAATGAAATGTATGTTTGTGTATACCTGGCGCCGCGCATGCGCAAGCGAAGAGGCCCAGAGCCAACGCAGCTATAGCAAGTCGAGCCATCTCGTCGAACTGTGCTGTTCCTTCCAGACGTAAGCTTTTATATACACACAATCTCATCTCATGACTTCATGAACGTGCAAACGTTTATCGTACTCTTCATTTTTTGCTCGGTTCTTTTTGCTTTTTGTATTATTTTCATTGATGATGGTTCCGTCTAGTTGTTCAATTATGAACCCAATGAAATATCGTCTTTCAAGTACTAGTGACCGATAGTAATTAGTTGTTTTGTTTATCAGATTTTATTACATCAGTTCTATATGTTAAATGTGTTTTTTGTTTTAAAATATTTAGGCTTTTAATTAAATTGTACATTTTTTTAAATTCGATTTGTCAATTAAGTGTATTTGTATTTCATTTAATTATCAATGCACCTATTAGTACTTTCTGTGCTTTATCTTTGAATGACGGTCAGAAAACATTTTAGGCATTAAATCCGCAAATGCATACAAATTTTAATATACGTGATATAAAAAATCCAAGTTCATTTCGGGGATAAACAAATCCATAATTATAATTTAAGAATTTAATTGTCGACGCTTCGTGAAAAAGCTTAAGAGAAAAAGAAAACAATTGTTTAGCTTTTATATCTATATATATGAGCTCTTAATTTGCTCTGCTTTGAATTACAGCTTTGAATTAAGTATTAGAATTATTAAGGATTAGGATTAGGATAAGCATTATCTATATATTAATACGTGAAGCAAAAACTTTGTATCCCTTTTTACGAAAATTGCGTGGACGGAGGAGTATGAAATTTTCCACACTTATAGAGAATATAGAGAATGCTAATATTTTTTTTAAATAATGCATAAAAGATACATTAAATCAATAAAGAAAATATAACACACACTACATACCATGTATTTGACACACACACACACGCATGCATACTATTTATTGTCAAACTTTTGTTCTTGACGTCTGTGGTCAAATGAGAATAGATTAAATATTGTTTGTCTTTTATTATTTTAAATATTTTTTTATAGTGTAGCCTTGGCGAAATTTATGATTATATAAGTATACAATCATAATAGTGTACAAACTTACAATTCCAATTAATTATAGTCGAATTTCGACTACTGCGGGAACTCTAGTTTTTTGTTAATATTTACACCTAGATTTAATATCTACAATAGGTGTCTATTTAAAAATTATAATAAAACGCATTTCGTACTTTTGGGTCCCCAATTTTGCGGCCAAAAAAGTAACGATTTCATGAATTTCTACGATTTCATGACTTCCTCTAATTTCCTATTTTTTTGTATTTAGGCATGTTCAGAATAAAAAATGCTTCATCACAATCAATTTTATCACTCATTTATTGATAATAATATAATTTTCATTTACCTATATTTTTCCTTTTACGTATTTGATAACGCCAACACGGATGATAATTTAAATAGGAACTTTTTTAAAAAGCTTAGAAACCTTAGGTACTTCTTTTGTTTTTAATAATGTTCTAATATTCAGTTAGTTTTCCTTTATTACTGTATTATATACTGATTAAATAAAATTGCCGAATTTCAACACGCATTCCTGAAACAAATAACAAACAAGTTAGAATTTGAATTTCGAACCAGATGAGATACGAATGAGATTTGGGGTAGTTTTTAATGTATAACTCTTAATTTAACAGTGCTTACGAATATATAGGACCACGTGCCTGTCGTCATGACAACAAGTTTACTGTACTTATAATTAAGGTAACATTAAGCCTTCTGGGAACGCTGCCAACTGGCGGTGAGCTAACACAGATTTTCTATTTATAAGTAGCTTTATCTACATAATTATTATTTAATTTTTTATTCATTTATTACATTAAGGTTATGAGAATTAAATCAAATAACTCGCGACTTTTTGGCGGGAACGCGAAGAGTGAGGTTGTGTGATTTGTTTTATTTTGTCTAGTGTATCTTCAGGTTTAAATGTGTAATAATGGTGGTTTATTAACTGCTTAATATCTGCACAAATGTGGGAAAATGAAACAAAGCCGCTGGACGTAACTTCTCGGGATCCTCCAAAAAGTCGACTGAAAAAATCTTAAATGACCACCATTTTACTGAGATTATATTTCATCCCATTTCATTTTATACCAGTTGATTAATGTCTCAAATTAATCATCTTCATATCATTTCACTCCATAATATCATTTTTCATAAAAAATATGAATATAAATTAAAATAAGACATGACTTAAAGGTCTCAGTTACCAGGTCATAAAATCCCTTAAAAAAATATCAAATAACTCGCTTTTGGCCCACAATTTGAAAACAACCCACTTCATAGAAATACACACATTAGGGCACGAATTCAAATTACAAATTCAGAACCATAGTGTAGTATCACATAATATTTTATTAATCAATGCGGAACCAAAGACAGACTATTAATTTTTTCAGCCAACACGATTCAATAAAAGTATTTAACATCGATATTTTTTTGTTAAGTTTCTATAGAAACTACTACATTTATAAACAAAGTAATTGTTGCAGGTGTGTGTAATAATGTATGTATTGTGTACGTACATAATATAGTTTAAATTAACACTTCATACAAGTACGTTACGTGTAGGCTTAAAAAATCCTTGGTACGTTACTTGGAAACGATTTTTTGTGTATATCGATAACAGGTATTCGTAGGAAATGTTTACAATATCGATTTTGATACTAAGATTTATTCTTGGAACTGACGCTGCTTCGAATGCACTTGTTTATCCTCAATTGAAGTTTCAGAGACAATGTTATTGCTTATTAGAATTAAAATAGATAGAATATAATAATTTCGAATAATCTTTTTTTTTCAGCTCACAGACGTCCATTAGTGGGCATAGGTAGCTCCTAAGGTTCCTCATAATCACCAGTGATCCAGGGATCTGTGTACGATAAATTCGACACCTTAGAAATAGCTGATCGCCTTTTCGGAAATAGAAGAGATTACTGAACCTCAGGATTAGCGAATCCTCTCCTTCTTCGAACTTCAGATAAATCCACAATATCCTACCGTAACCCATTCAATTCTTCCTCGATTTGTAAGCAACACCCATCGGAGAAGATGGGGAGGTGCCATTATTTTTTGAGGGCGACATCACAGATCCAGTCATTACAATATAAATACGTAGTACCTTCGTGAGTCGTTCAGATAATGTACACTTCTTTTAACGGTGTAATCTCGAGTACATTCTTTTCATATTTATTTCCTGAAGTTAGTATATTGGACAGTTTTTTGGAACGGAGTGGCTCCCGATCGATCAGATTTATTTGAAGCTCGAGGGGTTAAACCGAAAAAAGTGTAACAATGAATGAGGACACCAAAAACCGACATCTTTTGGCAGTGACTTTTGAGGTACTTCCCGACCGTCGAGGAAACTGAGACTTTTTTCTGTCGATTCGGCTTGACTTTAGTTTTCAGAAGATGCAGAAATAATATTTGTAGTTTGAATGTTTAATTACCCATTTTATTGTTGTTTTTCATACAATTCTTTGTTAACACGTTAAGTTTTGTTGCTAAATCTTTTTTTTTTTGTTGAGATTGGATTGGATGGTGCTGGGAATATATGAATTCTCAATAGCTCTTCTCGTTCCCAAATCATAAAATTTTCAGATCAAAAAAATATAACCTCTTATAACAAAGAATTATTATAAAAATTCATGTTTTTTTTAATTTCAATGAACTTGAGAAAGTCGTGTATCCAAAGTTAAAGACAATAGAGAATATTTAAAGTAAGCATAAGGAAAGTTTATATCATAATAAATATGCTGATCAAACTTAGTGTAATGAACGCAGTTATTGTGTTAACTGCCAAATCTGACTCTTTGTATTTTATTTAATCATTACTTAAAACAAACACCAAAAAAAATATAGCAAAATGATCTCCGTTCAAACCCGCGGTCCATTAGACACCTCTGTATTTTCCTGATCAGGGACTAAATACTGGACTAAAGTGTTATACGTCATCTTTTCAGTTTTCAAATGATCGGTGAGGCTCAATTCCGGATTCAATTGAAAACTCTGGGTCTAATGAAGGGACTTCAGTTCTTTGTTTTTTTGTACCGTATGTTCCATGGGGAGTGTTCCGATTAATTATTGGAGATGGACCTCTGATCTCTTTTTTAGCGTCACACCGCCCCCCCCAACCCAACGGAGCAAAGATTATCTATGAATGATCTATGTTGTTTGAAAACATCTTTTGCAATTGAAGCCGTAAAACCAGTCATATCTATACTATAATAATATTATAAAGAGGAAAATTTTGTTTGTTTGTATTGAACAGGCTCCGAAACTACTGAACCGATTTGAAAAATTCTTTCACTGTTGGAAGCTACACTATTCCCGAGTGACATAAACTATAATCTTTTTTGAAAAAAATTCGGGATCCTTACTAAAACTCCAATAATGTAACCCAAGGTGAAAAAAATATACCTTAAAATATTCTTTACATCGCGTGCCCTGCCAAAACTATTGATGATAGAATAAAATAATGTACTACGACTTTGTAGAACACATTATTATTTACAAAAAGTGTTGCGACAGCACATGTCTAACTATTATAGTTACGCTGCAATAAGTGTTCTTTTATTTTTAAAAATAAAACACCGTCAAATATCAAATATGAAATTTTTGTTAAAGACCCGAGCGGAGCCGCAGCGGGCCGCTATTCTTAGATAAATGATTTAAATAGGTACAGGTATAACTGCAATTATTAATATTCAGTCACGACGTACCTTGTTCATCGGAACTGACTTCTTGATTAAGTACTGTATTATCTTCTTGTTATTAATATCCATTAATGATGATGTTTAGCGGAAAAGTCATCGTAAAAATCAGCGTCTGTTTTCTAATAGACAAGGTCGGCGTGCTTGTGATGCGCCTTGTACCTAATACTTACCTGACTGGTTTATGTGCGCTGCCAACTATGAAGGATTATCATGGGTTATAGCCCACTGAGTTTCTCGCCTGATCTTCTCAGTGGGTCGCGTTTCCGATCCGGTGGTAGATTCTGCGAAGCACTGCTCTTGCTAGGGTTAGTGTTAGCAGCACCTCCTGGTTTGAGCCTCGAGAGCTCACCTGCA